GAGACCTTCCATGTGGCTTTGTGAAGACCAGATAACCTAAGTGGTGAGGGAAAAGATACCAAGCTGTCACCAGGATTTTTTTTTTTTCAGGCTGAGCAAAGGACAAAGCATCAACAACTTTGTTTTATGGTCTAACTAAGTACTTTGAGTTTGGAATTCCAAATTTGAAAACCCGGACACTTCCCCACAGTTGTGGCTGTCGAGATCAGGTTTGATCTGGGTTGGCAGTGTTTATATCAACGACTTGTTGAGCTTAAGCAACTTTTAAAATTTGTTCTGCTCAAAAGAGTTACTCTGAAAGTGAGTTTATTTTAATGCATTCTCTGTTGCTTAATAACTGGATACCTGAATCTGGATGACTCATAAGAATAAAGGTTATTCAGCTCCCGGTCTGGCGAGCCCAGGCCTCTGGGCCATATCTGGTGAGGGCCGCCTTGCTGACGGGAATTCCACAGAGTCTCAGTGTGGCAGGGAACGTCACATGGTGAGACCAAGTAGTTATTTGTGGTCAGCATACCCTCTCCTGGAACACATCGGCGTGTCTGTGTCTGTCTCCTTACACAGTTACTGGGAACGGGGGCCAGCAGGTGGTGTAGTGGTTGAGGGGCTGAACTCCATGGGCACCTGCGGTTTGAGTCCGGGACTCAGCAGCTTGAAACTCACACTGGGCACGTGTGTGTGTGTGCCCAAAATCCCGAGAGGAGAATGGAGGAGAAGGGATTGTGGTGTGGCCATCCTCCCGGGGAGTGATTTCTCACTTTCTCTCTCTCTGTCTCTCTCTCTCTTTCTCTCACTGTCTCTCTAGCCAGCACACACACTCTATCTAGCAAAAACAAAACAAAACAAAACAAAACAAAAAAACAACTCTCTTAACAGCTACCGGGAATCAGTCACGGGGGCCTCCACCCTGGTGACCCCATTCAATCCTAGTCACCTCCCAAAGGCCACCGTTCGGTACTGTAATTGCATTAAGCCTCCACAGGCTCACCTCTATTACAGAGGCTCATGAAATTTTCGCACATGACTTTGGGGTCAGAGGGGAGAGAACACACCCACACCATAGCTGAGTATCTTCTTGACCCGTTTTCTATAGTGCTTTCCTCAGTAATCAGGAGAAATGATGAACTGCCATTTGTTGGCTTTCTGTTCAACAGTTAAGGGTGTACCCACATGACTTTCTGACATAAAAAGATACCTCATTACTTTGGCATAACTTGAACTACTCCTTTTTAAATTCTTGAAAGCAGTTGGATATGTAAGTTTGCCTTTTTTAGATGTCTTGCGTAAGTTCAAAAATAGCTTAAATTTTGGCTTAAACTCTCATCAACTTCCTCTTGTCATTTTCTGGACTGTCCCAGGGCAGAGGGACCCAGTACCAAGTGCTGTTCAGAATGCCTAGCTGTTGTGCTAGTCCGCCCAGCAGGTTTTCATCGTGCCCCGGCTTGCTTCAGGTTCTGCTCTCAGCCCCAGACCAGAGTGGTGAGGAAGGCCACGTCTCCGTGGCACTCGTGGCCCAGAGCTCGATGCCATTCAGTGGTTGGGCTCAGCTCTGTGCACTGTTTTGCCTCCCTCCCGCCACCGCTTCACGCATTTCCTGTTTGAATCCAGGTGAACTCCACGCGATTCTTTGGAACATCATGCTCTGGGCCAGGCCTGACGTGCTGGGGTTGATCACTGTGCATTGAGAGCTGGATCTCACCTGGCCCACCACAGTTCAAATCCCAGCCCTCGTGGTTTAGGAAACATGCCAGGCACATGTGCGTGCACGTTCAAAGTCCAACAGCATAGGATTGTAGAGCGAGGAGAATTATGGCATGACCCTGGCCTGTTGCGAAGTTCTCTCTCTTCCTCCTTCTGTTTGGCAACAACAGCAAAAAAGCAGACTCGCTTAGGTCTCCTCTTCTTGGTTCGTGCTGTTCCCTTATTTGTCCACCTGGCTAGCTCTTCCATTTCATTCACGACTTAGCTCAAAAGTTATTTCATCTCTGAGTCCTTTCTATTCTCGACCAGGCCGTGTCAGCTGCCTTGACTGAAACCACTGTAGAAATAAACACCCCCCTCTGCTCTAGAAGTTTCATTTTTAGTGGGAAAAACATAAAACCTGAAATCTCTGAGTATGCATCTCTTGTCCCACCCTCCAAACCAGGGGCATCTCCAGACCGTCTGCACAGTGTCGCTGAATGATGAGTTAACATGTGGCACCATCCAGTGGCCTAGTCAGGCAGCACACGCTAATTCTCCTTATTAAGGGGGAGGGGGAGGGGAAGGATAGAGGAGACAAGGAGTGCGATGCCATCTTCATCTCGAGAAGCTCAACACTCTGTGATACCTTCCACACACTGGTGATCTGTATATGGGATTTTTGTTTAATTTGCTGCAGGGCACATGCACTCCCTAGAGAGAGAGACAGAGACAGAGAAAGAGAGAGATCATTGCCAGGGGGCATGACCACGCCACAGTTTCTTCTCCTCTGCTCTCCTCTCCGGATTTTGAGTATGCACGCACACGCACCTGGTGTGTTTTACAAGCTGCCAGGTCTAGGATTCAAACACACAGTTGGCCAGGTGGGATGCAGCCACCTTAACCAGCGCACCACCTGCTTTTCCCAGGAGTAGTTTTTAAAATCATGCCTCTGTTCTCTCTATCTGGGCTAGAGTAGGTTCCTGTACTCTGTTAGGCTTGGTTTGCTCCCAGCTCTGCTTAACAGACGGACTTCTCTTCGCTTACTCATGGTTACAGCCATACTGAACTCTGTGTTCCAGACTTTGCGGTAGTCGGGGAAGTTTCTCCCGTCTGTGCTTGCATGTACTTATAGAGTTAAACATAGCCTTGCAGCAAAATGGTTTTAAAACTAAAGACCTTTTTGACCAAAAAAAAAAAAAAAAAAGTTTGCTAAATTGGGGATAAATGTATAGTGATAATTCCAACAAAAGGAATTCTCAGAAATGAAAAGTTACCTTATCAGTGTTGGCCCGAGTATTAAAGATGTTAGTGAAGTTACCTAGTGTGGGTTTGTGGCTGCAAGGACCGGGAGAGAGGACAGTGACAATGGTCACGCCCCTGGGTTCTTGGTTCTTAACTGGTGAGCAAAAGTTGCAGCCTATCTTTATTCTTCAACTTGGACTTAGGAATGGGAAAGATACAAAATGCAAAATTAGAGAAACACATATATGCACAAAACCTCAAAGACATGGAACCACTCCTAACAAGTCTCAGCAGGGAGGAAATCCACAGCACAGAGCAGATCCTATTTTGATTTCCACCTATCATCATGACATTTTTTATTTTGACCACCACGTATTAGAACAGAGCCTCTTTTTTAAAATGGAAATATCATTTTAACTTATGCCCTTTCCTTTCACACGTGTGAGATAAACAGAATATATACACTCTTGGTGAACTACCACGCATAAGTTATTTCAAAATGCAGAAGGAACGTCTTCTATCGTGACTCAGGACTGGGCTATAATAACATCCTTTTCTGTGTTGTGTTGAATCCCATCCAAAGGAAGCAAGCATAAGCAGTGAGGATCTGAACATGAGTGAAGTGCCTCTGAAAAATCACATTTAGGGCCAGGCCTTGGCCTGGTGATTACGTGGGCTGGAGCTCACATGGCTGACTGTGTGGCCCAAGTCCTGGACCTGGCACCTTGAATAAAACACACCAAGCACATGTGTGTGGGCCCAAAATCCTCAAAAGAGAAGAAAAGGAGGAAAAAGGATTGTGGTGTGACCATCCCCCAAGGGAGGTGCTTTCTCGCTCGCCAGTGAGCACACTCACCCTCTTTTCAAAATTGTTTTTGAGGGACCAGCAGTTAGCGTAGTGGCTATGTTACTGGACTCCCACGTAGTCGACCGTGGTTTGAGTCCCGGATCCGGTGGCTTAAACTCACACCGGGCACGTGTGCGTGCATGCCCAAGATCCCAGGAGGAGAATAGAGGAGAAGGAATTGTGGCATGGCCATCCCCCCTAGAGGGGGATTTCTAACTTTCTATCTCTCTGTCTCTCTCTGTCTTTCTGGCAAGCGCATGTGCCCTGTAGCAAAAACTTTTTTAAAAAAAAATTGTTTTTGAAAAATCACACTTGTCAGGAGTCTCTTAATTACCCACACCCCCCAAAATAAAAATGAAATAGGAGACTGGTCCTATCTTACCATTACCAACGTTAATAAACTCAGTAGCAGAATGCTTAGACCCTAGGAAAGAAACATGGTAGCCTAAGGTTGAGAAAAGGAAATAGAATCTTAGAAGGAATAAAGCTGATAGAAAAAGATGAATAATTAACCGTAAGTTGTGGGGAAAATAGTATTTTCCTCTTTTTTTCTCTTTAGGAAGATGAAAATGTCAAAAAGCTCCTACTTGGTGGTTCCGTAACAATGTTCAGTTTAGTCAGTGTAGACATGGTGTCTTATCCTGAATCCCGGCTCTCTAGAGTTCTAGTTAATGCCTTCCTTTTAAAGGTTTAAATGGTATATTTTGGGGGCCAGCAGGTGGCATGGAGGTTAAGGCAGCTGGATCCTACATATCTGACTTCATGGTATGGCTCCAGAAGCTTGAAAATCATGTTGAGCACGTATCTGCGCATGCCCAAAATCCTCAGTGGAGAGTGGAGGAGAAGAGGTTATAGTATGGCCAACCCCCAGGGGCTGATTTCTCACTTTTCTTCTGTCTCTCTCCTCCATCTCTCCGGCAAGAACACACACTATAGCAAACTGAAAAAAAAGAGAAAAAAAGTCTACTTCTGATTATTTTAATACTTTCTTAGTCTTAAATTCTTTTTTATTCCTAGATTGATTTGTGACCGCTTGTTTTGGTTTCTGCCACCATGTTCTATAAGGCTAGTTTTAGGGAGCTGCTTCTCTTTTTTGTCTCTCTAAAGATACAAAGTTTAAGTTGCCTTGGAATGTTTCTGTGAATTAAGTCTCAGTGTGAATTCTGAGGTTGTGTCCTTCCTAATCAGTGGCGTGTTTTTTTTTTGACGGGGCATATTGTCTTTCTAGAGTGTCCTTCCAGGCTTCGTAGCTACGAAACTGGCTAAGATCCGGAAGCCAACCTTGGATATACCCTCTTCGGGCACATTCGTGAAGTCTGCCATTAAAACCATCGGCTTGCAGTCGCGGACCAACGGGTACCTGATCCATTCTCTTATGGTACGTAGATTTTTCAGTCCCAATCATTTCTTTCCAGTTGCGGGTTTTCTTGCCCACTGAGTCACAAAATAACATGTGAAATATTAGCATGTGTACGTTATCTAGATTTATTTTAACTGTACAGCAAAGAATTTTGAAATGTATCTGTAAATGCAACAACAGTCAGAGCGTAGGCTTCGATGTAGCCCGAGTTGTTGGCTGTCATTCACATCGCCTCCTATTTCTTCCCCCAGGCCTCTGTCCTCTCAATCCTGCCTTCCTGGATTTTTTATAAAGTAGCCATGAGTATGAACAGATCCACGCGGGCTCGCTATCTGAAGAAGAACAAGAAGAACTAAGCCTTGACAAGTACATCGAGCAGGTCGGCCAGGTGCTCCGGCCAATGTCTGCTCCCTGCAAGGCACACCGCCAGTCTCGAAAACGTGTCGTTGTCTCAGTAATTACTAATACAGCTAAATGTCATCCTACTCGGGAGGAAAGCTGAGCTGCTTCTGGAGTTTCTGACATATATTCTAGATGCTACTGGGAGCTGTTTAAAAGTTTAATAGCAATGCTTATATCCAATGTATGTTGGACTGATATTACCCAGAACAGCTTAACAGGAAGGACTATAATGAAAACAGTTACAGAACAGCAGAGTAAGACAGAAAACTCAAAGTTGTCATCTGGCCCAAATGCCACCGATCACCATTTTTGTATTTTCTCTGACATTTACTATAAAAATGTAACAGCCAACTACTCTTTTTTGTTTTTGCCAGTTCAAGGGGATTTTAAATTCATTGATTTGCTTAGTGAAGACATGCGGCAATTGACCTAGATCTCTGTAAGCTTTTCTGGGAGTATGATCCAGCTTGTATATTTGTACAGAACTGCTCTTACTGAACCCCTGACACCCCCCCCAGGTGGCCCACGGGGACCCCAGCCCTCTTTGGCCTTGAACTGTACCAATATTGCTCACCTATATGACAGGGGCTATTCCAGTCATAGTCATGATAACATAGAAATGACTTAGCTTTAAATTGGCTCGCTAGAGGTACTAACCCAATTAGTTTTCATTAAAGATGATGTTACCATGATGTGGAATGAAAATATTTCTTTCGTGCTTGAAATTAAGGCCATATTTATACTTGCTTAACATAAATCGAGACTGACTGTTATCCTGCCACTTAATTTGCATTGGGAAATTGCCAAAAAAGAAGTCCATACTATGTGGGACCACCAGATGGTGTAATGGTTACATCGCTGGACTCCCACATGGCCGACTCCGGTTCAAGTCCCAGACCGAGTGGCTGGAAACTCACACTGGGTGCATGTGCGTGCATGCCCCAAATCCTGAGATGAGACTGGAGAAGAAATTATTGCAGTATGGCCATTCCCTCTGGAGGATGATTTCTCACTTTCTGTCTCTCTTTCTGTCTCTGTCTCTGGCGAGTACACACAATCTATAGCAAAAATCTCTCAAAAAAAAAAAATCCTATAGTGTGAAATACACAACACAGAGGGTAAGCACACAGCTGGCCTGTGGTTCCTAGGCCCTGAGTTTTAAGCAGTTTTAATACATTTTAATTGAGGTGTTTAAGTGTTTCTACCTTTTATTTTGTCTGCTAAAGCAAAAACAGAAAACAAACCCAAAAAAAGTTGCTGTCAGTACCATCATAATGAAATGACAGATATTTTACAACCCGAAAGGTCGGAAGAACATAATCTCAATATAGGATTTTCACTCAAGTTGAATAAATGTAGCTTTTTGAAAAACGCACCATTCGCCCTTTGTCCTCCCTCATTTTGTCACAGGAAGGTTGACATAACAGTGACCTGGGTTTCGTTGCTAACACCTCCTTTCACATGATGGCCGGTTGGTGTGGTTCTTTTCAGTAGAACGGCGGTAGAGAGAGGGATTGGTTCGCAAGGACACAGAATACCTTTTCTCTTATCCCAGTTAGAAAAGAGCTGTAATTCCATCTAGGAAATCGCCCAAAACTTACACATTTAGTCTTAGCCCAAAGGCTGAGAAGCAACAGCAGTTTCAAAACTTTGGGAGCTGTCATTCTGCTTGCTTCGACTTGACAAGTGTCCTTTTTATTTTACACTCAGGGAAGAAGATGGTAACGTGAAAATGCATTTTCCTAAGTACATGAAAAGAAAAAGCATACTAAAAGTGAAAACAATCTCCTCCAAACTTTCAAAATACTGAAGCATAATCTTTGGAACTACACGTTAACTTGGTTTTGTGTTCTGATGTGTGCTGGGTAAGACGTGAACCTAGGAAGAGACGGATTACGGATGTCGAGTTGGCTTCACCTCCCTATGCCGAAAGCTGTATATCAGTACTCTGTTCTTTCATTGACCGTGGGTGACATAGGGTGGGAAGCAGGGGGATTGTCCTCCACGGGGAACGAGTTGTACCCTTCCGACTGGCACTCACGCAGTCCCTCATGCACTCAGATAACTAACTGCTAAAGGTGATGTGAGCTGCATTTCCTCAAATGGGCCTGCCCAAAAGAGGTGACTTCTGAGTCCTGATTTGATACTGAACTTTCTGTATTGTGAGCATCAGTGTCACCACCAGTATCAGTGGTGCTGATTCTGTCCGGAAGAGCAGAGTTGTCATGGTAACAATACCGTATGGTAATGAAATGAACCTGAGCAGTACTACAGTTTCTTAGCTCTGTTGAAACCAAAAATTACCTGTAATTTGTTTTTGTTTTTTGTTTGTTTGTTTGTTTGTTTTTTGAGAGATTTTCACTGTAGGGCGCGTGCGCTCGCCAGACAGACAGAGAGAGACATAGAGACAGAAACCGAGAAATCACCCCCCAGGGGGGATGGTCACGCCACAATCCCTTCTCCTCCATTCTCCTCTCGAGATCTTGGGCACGCACACACATGCGCCCGGCGTGAGTTTTACGCCACCGGGTCCGGGACACGAACCACGGTCGACTATGTGGGAGTCCAGCGACATAGCCATTATGCTAACTGCTGGTTCCCTGTTTTTGTTTTTTTGAAGAGGTTTTTGCTATAGGGCATGTGCACTCGCCAGACAGACAGAGAGACAGAAAGCGAGAAATCACCCCCTAGGGGGACACCGCAATCCCTTCTCCTCCATTCTCCTCTAGGGATCTTGGGCACGCACACACGTGTGCCTGGCATGAGTTTAAGCCACCGGATCCGGGACTCGAACTGCGGTCATGAGAGTCCAGTGGCATAGCCATTACGCTAACTGCTGGTCCTGTTACCTATAATTTTGATGGTCCTACATGCTGCTGCTCTGTTCTGTAGTTTACCAATGAGAAAACAAATGACTGAAGATATTGGGTCATCAAAAAAGTCATGATGCATTTTTGAGTAGGAAAATCTTAGAGAAATGCATCATGACTTTTCCGACGACCAAGATATGTATGTGTTTCATCTATAGGTGAAACAAATTTCATTCAAACTTTTTTACTTTGCAATATTCTGATGCTATTAGAGCAGCGTATTTAGGTCACTCATTTTGCAATACAAAACATAAATATGGCCAACTTCAGTTTTCGTGTGGAGATGTCATTCTTTCTGTCGATGTGTTTGAAGACATCTTGGAATATAACGCTGGATCTAGCATGAACACTACACTACCGTCAGACTTAGAGTTTTGTTAGTGTGATGAATGGCGTGTCACAACCTCCGGTGTTCTCCTTTTACGTGTCCTTGAAAACCAAGCGAAATGGACGACACCAGTGGGGATCGGGTATCAGGAAGGAAACGGTATACGGAGCTCGCCTCCCGCCTCAGTAAGATTCCCAGACTTAGCGTTCTGTGCACTTATCGCGTGCCAGCCATTCTTCTGGGGCTAAAGAAACAGTGACAGGGACCAGCAGGTGGTTACGTCGCTGGACTCCCACATAGTCAACCGCGGTTTGAGTCCTGGACCCAACAGCTTAAAACTCACTCTGGGTGCGTGTGTGTGTGTGTGCACAAAATCCTGAGAGGAGAATGGAGGAGACAGGATTGCAACCTGGTCATCCCCACTGGGAGGTGATTTCTCGCTTTCTGTCTCTCTGGTGAGCACACACGCCCTATAGCCAAAATCTCAAAAAAAGAAAAGAAAAGAAACCCAGTGACTAAGCAGACAAAAATCCTTGCCCCTATTCAGTTCTACACTCAAGCCAAGGGGTGGTCAAGTTGCAAAGAAAGGAGACAGATAATAAACAAAAGGAGTAATTTTGTATGGGCCAGAATCTGACATGGAGGTTAAGGCAGCTAGGTCTCACATGGCTGACTGCACAGTTCAAGTCCTGGACCCAGCAGCTTGAAAAACACTCTGGATGAGTGTGCATGCATGCCCAAAATCCCAAAAGGAGAAGGGAGGAGAAGAGGTTGTAGTGTGGCCATCTCCCCAGTGGGTGAGCTCTGTGTGTGTGTGTGTGTGTTTCTCTCCCTCTCTGTCTCTCTCCAGCGAGTACACATGCCCTACAGTGAACTAAATAATAATAATATAATATTGTGATGTAAATGCTGTGTGCTATGGGGGAATAATAAATGGAGTTAGAGTAAGGAAGATGGGGAATCGGCTGCATGAAGGGTAGGGATGGGAGCCTGGTGATTTTAAGCAAGGTACTCAGGTCGTCCTGGATTGGCCTTTCAGCTCATGGGGGAAGGCACTTCAGGCAGAGCAGCTCCTGCAGAGAGTGAGGGGAGGGCGTATCCGGGAAGTTCCCAGAACAGCTAGGAATGCATACTTACTGAAGTACATACTGGGCGTTTGTTTCCTGAGGACTCATGTTTCAGAGACTCGCTTTAGTATAGCTTGGAAATGACTAATATTAAGTCACCTTTATATTCTTGTCCATATTTCATTATCTTCATTCACTGCTGAAATCACTTTGCAGCCAGTATTTCACTTGGGACTTTTGCATCTATGTTTATGAGATGTGCCTGCTTTCTTTGGTCTGGTCATTGTATCAAGATTATAACGGCTTTATTAAATAAGTTGAGAAGTGTCTATTTTACTGTTCTCTAGAAGAATTTTGTAAAAAATTAGAGTGGTCTGTTCATTGAAAGGTCATAAAGCCCTCTGACTTCATAATTTATTTGTGGAAAGTCTTAACTACTGATTGCATTTTCAGTGGTATTTAGACTATTCAGGCTTTCTATTTTTTCTTGAGTCAATTTTGAAAACAATGTTTTTCTCAGGACTCATATTGCATACACACACACACATATATATGTATATTAGCATAGAATAGCTCAAGGAATTGTTTTTAAACCTCTGCCAGATATGTCTGTTTCTTTTCCTAATGTATCCTTTTCCGTATTATTTGTTATTATTTTTAAATTAACAATCATCATACATATTTATGGGGTACAGTGTCTTAGTTTTGATACATGTATCCAATGTAATGATCAAGTCAGGGGAATTAGCATATTTATCACCCCAACATTCAACATTTCTTTGTGTTTGGAACATTCCAAGAGGCAGGAACATCTCTAGAAAGCCTGCAGGTGGTGGGCCCTGCCCCGTTGAGTTCAGCCTCATAAGACTTATTTGACACTTCAGCTCTCCAGGGAACTGTGTGAGAATAAGTGTCTCTTGTTTTAAGCCTCAGAGTGTGATCATTTGCTGCTGGAGCCCTAGGAAACTAACAAATATAAACTCCTTAAATATTACCCATTACACACTTTTTGAGACCTGTTTTTTTATCCAGATGGGGACAAATTTTTAAGTGTTTCTTGTGTGCTTTACAAAGAGACCTTTTTTTTTATTGTGACTTTCTTTTTATTTTTTATTTTATTTTCAGTTGACATCTAATGATTGTACATAGTTAGAGTAGACATGTTTTGAGACATGTATATACCATATGAAGACTGATTCTGTTCTAACTGCTGTTTTCTGGATGTGGCCATTAAAGCAAGCTGGTTGATGGTGTTGCAAATCCATCATGTATTTATTACCGTTTGTCAGCCTGGGACATCGGCGATTGAGGGAGGGCCTCACTGCAGGGTGCGAGTGGCGGGAGCTGCTGCACGGCGGGGCCATGCGGGGCCGGCCGCGCCAGGCCTGGGTGTGTCCCCGCACCAACCTCAGCAGGCTGGCAAGGGG